CTGAGATGGGCCCCGTGGAAGATGCCAGCCCACGTTCTCTCTTCCCCAGTGGAAATTCCCTTGCTGCAGCCGCATCCCATGGTCTTCCCTATCCGCGTGGCCTGCATCGCAGACATGGAGAGCCCATCTGTATCTCAAGGTAGAGGTGTCTGGACTGCTCGAGAGCAGGAGCACACCTCAGTCACACCGTGAGGCATGAGCCTGGTCCTCAGCCGGAGTCCTCCAAGAAAGGAGAGAACTATGTGCATGCAGTCAACACAGGCGTCAAATAATGAGAACTCTACAACCCTTGTTTCTCTTTTTTCTTTGGCTGCCAGGAAACTCCAAACTGAATGGAAAACCTAAAGCCGTCATTAACCATTCTACAACGCATTCCAGGTATAACTGGTGCCTCTCTCTCCATGAGGCCTCTGACATGCTCTCTGGTTGTTTAACTCTCCTGTTGCCTACGTGCTTGTGTCATATAACACTGCAAATCTCTCATGGAGGCAGGATATAAGTGAGAAAAAGGCACGAGAGCAAGGGGCCCAGAGACGTCTGCAGTTTGCGATGACGAATGAGTGCAGTTCTCACACGGGCGTCGTTGCCAGGACTCTTTAGGACTTGGATAAACAGGTCTGCTTCTCTCTGCCATTCCCCACCTTGCTTTTCCTCCCCCTCTTCTCCCCTTCCCCTCCATCCTTCATTTTCCTACCCTTGTCTGTTTCTCCTCTTTCCTTTTCAGTCTCGCTTCCCTCCATCCCCTCTCTTCCTCTCTCTCCTCTTCCGCTCACCCCCTAGCTGCTCGACAACCAGTTTACATTTTTTTTAACATTAACTTGTTTTAAAGTTTATGTATTTATTTCTTGAGTGAGAGAGACACACCACAGGGTTTCTTTCCTTTTCAGTCTCGCTTCCCTCCATCCCCTCTCTTCCTCTCTCTCCTCTTCCGCTCACCCCCTAGCTGCTCGACAACCAGTTTACATTTTTTTTTAACATTAACTTGTTTTAAAGTTTATGTATTTATTTCTTGAGTGAGAGAGAGACCCAGCAGGGTCTTCACGCCACGACCCACCCCAGCCTCAGCCGGCCTGGCTCACTGGCATGTTTGCACCCGGCGTGCTCAAGGGTGTCCCGGGATCAGAACCCAGCACCTTCTCCCTGCGAGCTCAACCACTTCTCCACCACGCCACTGCCTGACCCTGGTCAGTGTCGTCATCAGCAGCAGCCCGTGCTCTTTCCAAGGCCTTTCCTCATCCCTTACCCCACTTCTCCTCCTGGGGATAGCCCGCAATTACCGTGATCTCTGCCGTGTCCGTGGTCCCTGCCGTGTCTGTGATCTCCGCCGTGTCCGTGATCTCCGCCGGGTCCATGATCCCTGCTAGATCCGTGGTCCCCGCCATGTCCGTGGCCTCTGCCGTGTCCGTGGTCTCTGCCGTGTCCATGGTCTCCGCTGTATCCACGGTCTCTGCTGTACCAAGGTAGTCGCCAAGGCCTGGAGAGTTGGAGTGACGTGGGCATGGAGCGGGTCACGCAGCTTATCCATTACAGCTTACAGATCAGGCTCCAACCTCACGAGCCCAATACCTCCAGGCCCCCATGGCACCCTGCCGACTCTCGGTGCCTGCTGGCCTGGCAGAGAGCCCCATGAGGACAGAGAGGGCTGAAAACAATAGCCCACCTCCTTCTGAGGTTTCTTTTAGAATCGAGACTCTCGGCAGGGTCGGAGGGGTGTACGGGAGCACCGTGAGTTCCCGCGTGCTCCTTCGGTCATTAACTCACCGTACAAGTATTTATTGAGACTATGCTATGAGGTGGGCAGGGACGAGACTAGGGTGAGGTCAGCAAGTCACTTAGGTACCGAGCTCAAGGAGGCCCTCACCCAGGGCCAGTCCTGCGTGTGCACGACCCGGGCAGTGAGGACCCTCTTAAAGCTGATGCCCTCGCTCCGGCCTGCCGTCAGCCATCTTACAGAGGCCTGCAATTCAGCGGTGAGCAGCGGGGCCTGCACCCACCTCGGGGAGCCTACGGTCTATTCCAGGCCCGTGTGCTAATACCAGACTGACCTGTTAGAGGGCCACTCAGTAGTCCCTGCTGCCTGTGATGGCAACGGGTGCCCATGAACAGTGCGACGAGTGTCATTCCATGTGACGCGGGCTGGGAGTGTCATTCCATGTGACGCGGTGTCATTGGCAGGCATGCTGAAGGATGAGAGGAGTTTCCCCCTCGGCAGGTTCCTCGGCCTTGCTCAGGGAGGGAGCGTGGTGTGCAGCCAGGGCTGGTGCAGGCCCGAGGCCCAGATAGCCATGCAAAGTGAACTGGGAGTCTGTCCTAGTACAGTGCCGGAGTTTGCAAATGACTGACTTTGAAAAGTAGATCCTAGCCAGTGGAGGCCATTGGAAGCCACCCCTCAGCGACGTCACTTACACCCGTTTTCCTGTTGCTGTCCTGATGGCAGAGTCCGTGCCCCGCCCCTCCACACTTGCTCTGTGTTCACACGGCCCCGTCTGGGGTAGACTCTTGCCACACGGTGCAGATGGGGAGCACAGAGAGGGTGGGCAGGCCGCTGTATGCGTCAGCTCCAGCTGCCAGAGAAGTACTGCAGCCGGGGGCCTCAGCAGCGGACTTATGTCTGAGTCCTGGACTGGGAATCCAAGGTCCAGGTGGCGGCCTCAGCTCCTGCCTGTGGCTCCCCCGCCTGAGGCCCCGGCCCTCTGTGGCCCCACATGGGGGCGCG